AAGATGGAAGGGAGGAGCCCTCGCATTCTCGCCCCATCCCCATGGACCCTCCTACTTGTGACCCACATTCTCTAGGCCCCCATTTTATTTTGATTTTTAGTTTGGGCCACACCCATCTGTACCTGGGACTGTTGCTGGCGGGGCTCTGAGGAGCACAGAGAGACTGAGGCAGATGGAGTACCCTACTGCCGTCTCCTCTGTCTGGCCGCTCCCACTTCCTTCTTACTGCAGTGGACAAGGCTGTCCAACGGCCAGTCTCTGACTGTGGGCTCGAGCCGTACTCCTCCCAGACTGTCAGCCTTCCCCCTATGTGGGCATCGTCCAGCCCCCAGGCCTGTCTGTCTCTCCTGGATTATCCTTATGGACACACAGGTATGTTCTAGCATCCCAGAGGGATAATTCAGGGGTGCTCTAAGTTCTGTGCTCAGGGATAAGTCCTGGTGGGGCTCAGGGGACCATATGGGGTGCTGGGGATCGAACAGGTGTCAGATGCATGCAAGGCAAGCGCCTCCCGGCTGTGCTTGGCTGGTTTCTTAAAGCATCATCAACCCCACAGACGTCTTTCTTGCCCCCTCTCCCCGTTAGAAAGCCAGCTTCAAGGGCAGGAGTATGTCTGCTCAAAACCTGTTCCCATTGCCCAGCACTCAGCTGGCCAGAAACATGCAGCATCTGGTACTCGGGAGGGTTTGGGGGATAATTCAGTGAGGATGTAGGTGGAAGAACCCAACAGAGGTGGCAGCTCAGAGCAGACCCGCAGTTCTTGAGGGCTGACCCCTAGAGCGCTAATTTCCAGAACGTCAAAGGGCACTCAAGAGCCTGCAAAATGCCTCATGCCCCAGCTTATTCACCAAATGCAGCTTTACTTCCTAAACACAGAATGGCTGCTTCCACCGGCCGCTGGTCCTGAATGGATCTGGAGTGATCGACAGCCCAGGCAGAAGCCACATTTTGGATAAACCATCTGAGAGGCAGCAGAGAGCAATGCCTTAGCAGAGAACAATGCCCAGAGAGGAATCAAAAGCACTGGTACCAAAGCTTCAGGGTCAAGCTGCTGGCACCAAGCAAGGATCCTGCGCCTTGTATGGTCCAGATGGTCACGGACAAGAAGATGCACTCATTGTATGACTGAAACCCAGTCATGAACATCATTGTAACGCTCTATCTCAGCGATTCAATTAAAATATAAATGCAACTGGTAAAAGATTCTTCACATTGAAGGCCATTATTTTGGGTTGCAGTGCATATAATTTAAAACTTTATTATTAAGGTTTTAAAAAGAAAATAAAAAATGCATATACGCATAGAAAAGAAGAGATATGCAAAGCTATCTTCCAGTCATGTGACTATAATGTAATGAGGTGAAGGTATTTCAGAGGAGGGTTGGGTAGTTCTATTCTTTACCTGTTATTTTTATTTCTTAATGTCAAAACCATAAGTTTATACCTGCAGACAATTTAAAAAAAAAAGAAAATGATGCCCCGTTAGCCAGGGTGTGTGGGCCCTTGCTGGCCTGGCTCCTGCTCCCATTCTTGTCTTGTGTGTCATTGGGTGAACTACTTGTGCACATCACGAAAAATCCATAAAATGAGAACAGCGGCTCTGGGTCAAAGGCTTATAAGCATGCAAGCGACACCTCTGTAAAGTGCTGAGGGGCCAGAAAGATGGCTCAGAGCTGAAGGCATTTACTTCCCTTGCATGTGGCTGACTTTGGGTTGATTCCTGGTGCCCCCAAGCATCACTGCACGGCCTGAGTGATCCCTGGCACTGCACGATCCAGGCAGCACCACACCCTTGGGCCTTCATGCTGGACTCCTGGTCCCAGCCCCGTTGGCGAGAAACATTCAGACAGTCCGCAGGGGTCCTGAGCCTGGCTTGGAAGACCTCCCGACAAAGGCTGACGGGCAAACAGCCGGGCACGTCTCCACACTGCAACCTCTCCGGTTATTTGACCTAAGAACGGGAAGCAAGGCGAAAACAGCGAAGAGGCAGCAGGCAGAAGCTTGTTATTCAGGGTGGGAGGGAGGAGGAGTGTTTCCCGAGCGCAGACTTTCTGGCATTTGGCCTTGTTGTTGCCATACCTGGTGGTGCTCAGGGATCATTCCTGGCTTTGTGCTCAGGAATGAGAGTGCTTGGGAGTCACGTGGTGCTTGGGTTGGACCTGGGGTTGGCCACGTGAAAGGCAAGTACCTTACCCCTGGACTGTCTCTCCGGTCCTTGAATGCTATTTTTTTGAAATGAGCACCTACAAGTTTCCAGGTCTAGTAATATGTGCTAAGGAAATTAGAGTATGATCTCTCTCTCCATATAAACATATATATACATATGTATACATATATAATATATACAAAATATGTATATAGACATATATCATCTATACACTCATATGTAAACACACATATATATTTATGTATATATTCATGTATATATTCACAAATATATATTTATGTATATACTTATGTATATATTCACACACTCATATATGCACATATTTATATATGCATACATATAAATATGTACAAAATATGTATATATAGACATGTATCGTATATACACTCATATATACACATTACTTATATGTATATATGCACACAAATTTATATGTATACGCATAATTACATGTGTATACATATAAGTATGTAAACAAAATATATGACATATATCATATATGCACACTCATATATACATATTTATATATATAAATATATAAAATATGTATATGTAGACATATACCATATATACATATTTATATAGACACATATTTATATGTATATTTATATGTGTGTACATATAAATCTATAAACAAAATATATAGATATATATCATATATCACATACACATATTCATACATACATAATCTTATTTTGGGCTACCTATGGCATTGCTCAAGGCTGACTTCTGTCTGCTCAGGGATCACTCCTGACAGGACTTGGGGGACTATCTGGGGTGCTGAGGATTAAACCCAGATCAGCCCTAGCAAGGGTCAGCCCTAAGCAAGGCGAGGGCCTTACCTACTGTATTATCTCCCTGGCTGGTCTATATTAATATTTATATATTATAGCACTGTAGCACTGTCCTCTCATTGTTCATCTATTTTCTGGAGCACCACCAGTAACGTCTCCATCGTGAGACTTGTTGTTACTGTTTTCGGCAAATTGAATATGTCATGGGGAGTTTGCCAGGCTCTGCCGTGTGGCCGGGATACTCTTGCTAACTTGCCAGGCTCTCCAAGAGGGACAGAGGAATCGAACCTGGGTCAGCCACGTGCAAGGCAAACACCATACCTGCTGTGCTATCGCTCCAGCCCATTATATATTAAATAATATATTTATTAAAGGGCAGGAGGGATAGCGCAGCAGTAGGGCGTTTGCCTTGCGCAGCCGGCTCGGCCGTGCCAGGTTCAATTCCTCCGCCCCTCTCGGAGAGCCCGGCAGGCTATCGAGAGTAGCTCGCCCTCACAGCAAAGCCTGGCAAGCTACCAGTGACGTATTCGATATGCCAGACACAGTAACAACAAAGTCTCCAATGGAGACGTTACTGGGCCCGCTCGAGCAAATCGATGAACAACGGGAGGACCATGACCGTGAAGAACTCAGAAAGATATGTATCTTCTGACACACTTCTACCATACTTTTACCATATTTATTATATTTGTCTATAATGTCCATATTTTGAATTCAGATTTGTTTGGGGAAGAGATAAGGATCCTGACTAAAAAGGGCAGAATAGATTAAGAGATTAAGAGGCAGATTAGATTAAGAGTTCCCCTGGAGACAAAGTGAGACAAATACAAGGGCCAGGGAGGTAGTTCAGAGAGACAGTGTGGGGGCAGGGCCCTTTCCTTACACATGTGGGGCTGGTTTCAATCCCCAGCACTGCCAGGAGTGATCCCTGAGTGCAGAGCCAGGAGTCAGCCCTGAGCATGGACAGACATAATTTAAATACAAATAAACAAAACAAAACAAAACAAAACAACAACACAAATGCATAAACTAATCACAAAATTTGAAGCTGGGATCACTGTCATCCTGTTGTTCATTGATTTGCTCGAGTGAGCGCCAGTAACATCTCCATTCGCCAGTAACGTCTCCATTTGTCCCAGCCCTGAGATTTTGGCAGCCTCTCCTCACTCATCCTACCCAACGATTCCATATTGGAGGCTCTTTCAGGGTCAGGGGAATGAGACCCATTATTGTTACTGTGTTTGGCATATCAAATACGCCACGGGGAGCTTGCCAGGCTCTGCCGTGTGGGCAGGTGGGACAGGACAGACATAGATAGACACAAACTATGAAAAGTTATCTAAGAAATGAGGGGTTTATGACATAATTATGGGAAGGAACATCTATTAAATGATAAGAATACAGACAGTAGAGAAAAAGGCAAGTCTCTGCTCTGAAGGAGATACCTTCTGAAGGAGTTGAACAGTAAGATAACGATCAAAAGCCACAGAATTAAGGCCTCAAAGGAACCACCAGCTATAGCCAACCTCTTGGTGAAGGCAGCTTCTCAGTAAATAATTTTCATTTTTAAGAGTATCCCTCGGACCTGGGCAGGAGAGATGGTTCCAAGGGCCGAATGAACGCAGCTTTTGTATGTAGGAGGCCTTGGGTTCAAACCCCAGCATTGCAGGGTTGTCCGAGAACATCCCTTTCCATGACCCCCTCATGCCCCCACACATCTCAGCACAGAGTCAGGAGTAGCCCCCGAGCACTGTTGACTATCTTCCCCCCACTAAAAATTCAAAAGATGTATCCAGATGATTCCTGCACGGTTTTGAGATTTTCTTCTTCACTTTGATACATACACTTGGTCTTCACCAGTGAAGGGGGGGTTGGTCCTGTCAGCACCTGGAAGGGTCCTGATATGTCCTTATAGGGATGATGCAGAGGGTGGAATCATTGCTGGGGAGGGATTATGGACTGGGGCCATTCTTGCACGTGGCTAGTGTACGTGAAGGCTGCCCCAGATTTTATACCTGGCAGTGAAAGGAGACGCTTCACTCATTTGAAATGCAGAAATATTTATTTTGGTTTCCTTCATTGTTTTTGGAAATTCTGTTTTGGTTTATAAAACATAGAAATAGCCAACACTTAAAGCAAACATTCAAAACCCCAATGTGACAAATGATTGACTTTTTGTGCAATTAAGAACACACACATGAAGTTAGGCTACCAAATAGTGTTATTACAATGACAATTCTTTAGTGCAAACCCAGTTGTGCTTGTGTAATACGGGTACTGTCACACACCTCCAAACAACTGCTTTAAAGGTATAAACGACAATCACGCGTGGCAAAGATTCGCAGTAAAGTGAAATGCTGCTAATTTCCCAAATCAACTTAAAAAAAAAATCCCTTGAGATGTTCATCCCAGGAAATGAGTTCTCCAGATTTCTACCTCCTAGAATTTTGGCTTGTCAAATACATTTCATAGAATTCAGGTAGCGTTTTAAGAGCATTTGTTTATTACTGTCCATTTCAATAAGTACCCAAGTTTGTCTACCCCCTTCCTAGCTTTAAAGACAAGTCTTGCCTGAGACTTTATTCTGGGGGAATAAAAGGCCAGTGAACTACATGATCTTTTGAGCTGAAAACCTTTGAGTTTTGAGAATCCGTTGGCCATTACAGACAGAGTGGTTGGTTCCGCGAAGGTAAAACGGACGGCTGTTCGGCACCACAGTTAAGTGTGGTCGATCCAGGGCATTCTACCTTGAAATGCTTGTGTCCCCGGTAGAGTTGAAGGCAGATTTGTATTTTTTTGGAACAACTTCTGGGAAGAGACAGAGGAGGGGTCTGGCTGGAAGGAGGGTCTGGGGGCCATCTCTTCTGAGCAAGTGGCCCCAGTCGGTCTCTGCTCTGAAGTGGGTCTGTCCTGTGCCATTCTGGGACATTCCCAGAGGAATCACAGCGGGTTCGGGGTGTGGAGAAGCGCGTGGGATCCAGAGCCCTTGGTAGGCAGGGCCGTGTGTGGGGGAGAAGGGAAGGGACGGAGGCGGGGATCAACCAGGTCTCTCTGGTCCTCTTGTGAGAGTTTCCAGCTGGGACAGCTGTCCCTGTGTTTGAAGGGGCAGTGTCTTTCCCACGTGCCGTACTCTTCAGAGCAGCAGACGGAGAGCAGGCTTTGCAGCAAGTAGCAGACTTTGCAGAAATAGCCAAGTCCTAACCCCTTGGTTAGAAAAACAGGAGACAGAAGGTTTCGCACCCGCCTTTTCAACCGAGGAAGTCTTGAATAACTTAGCACGTTTACAGGTGCCCCCTTTGCAAATTTTTAAGGCTCATTTTGGGAAATTGTGGATCATCATAAATAAGCATGGTCTGCAACGCGAGGTGACTTTATAAGGCAGTGTTCCGTTTCCTCTAATATGCCTATGACAAGAACCCTGAATGGACAAGTCAAACACGGACCTTTCCTTCCCTAAGCTTGCTGTCATCAATATTCCCGACACGAAGGCCATCGGCGCAGGCTGTGGAGGCGTAATGGTTCCTTCGGCGCGTGCTCCCTTCCCGTTAGACTCTGATGGTGGCATACAGTTCGTCTATCTGTGACCGGAAATACTTGCGCAGCTCTGGCCTCTTGGCCTTCATTGTTGGAGTCAGAAGGCCATTCTCCACTGAAAATAACTCCTTGTGGAGAGCAATGCCCTTGACCTGCAAGGAACAGAAGGCGTGAGAGGGGGCAAGGGGACAGACTCAACTGGAGTGGAAAGGGTATTTGAGGTCAAGGGCAGAAAGATGCTGAGGGGCATTGCAGCCAATCCAGCCCCATTCAGGAGCTGATCTTGACCTCCAGGGTTCAAACACATACACTCTGGGTTAGAAAAAAGTCCCCTCCCTGCCAAGCTGTCTGTGTTTGTTCCTCAGGCCTCATGTCATTGCACCTTCTTTTTTTTTTATATATAATTTTATTTATTGAATCACCATGAGAGCAGTTACAAAGCTTTCGGGTCTAAGTCTCGGTCATACAATGAAACACCCGTACCTTCACCAGCGCCCATTCTCCACTACCAAAAACCCCAATGTACCCCCATCCCACACCCTCCCCCTACCTGTGGGGCAGATGATTTCCATATTACTCTCTCTCTACTTTTATCACATTCAATATTTTGACACCAGACCCACCATTATTATTTGAGATTTTACCCCAACACTCAGATCTGCTGAAAAGGCAACAGTAGACAATTTGTGTTCTATTTCTGGTTGTCATTGCACCTTCTATACGTACCATAATGAAAGCGATCTTGGAGAGGCCTGGGAGAGTGTGGGGATCGAGGTGTTTGCTTACCCCAGCCTGATCCCTGGGCCCAGCCAGGAGTGCTGCCTGAGCACAGAGCCGTGAGTAAGCCCCAAACACCATCAGGTGTGGCCCTCAACTCCTCCCCATCCCAAGCAAAGCTTTCGAGTCAAAAGACACATCAGAGTTGGAGGAACAGTTTGGGATGGAAAATGCATGCTGAAAGTAGATAAAGGACCAAACATGAGGGCTGGGAACGATAGTACAGTGAGTAGGGAGTTGGCCTTGCATGTGGACGACCCGGGTTCGATTTCCAGCATCCCATATGGTCCCCTGAGCACCACCAGGAGTAATTCCTGAGTGCAGAGCCAGGAGGAACCCCTAAGTATTGCTGGGTGTGACCCCCCCCCCAAAAAAGGGACCAAACATGATAGCCTCTCTCAGTATCTATATTGCAAACCATAATGCCCAAAAGTAGAGATTATGGGGAAAAATTGTCTGCCATAGAGGCAGGGGGAGGGTTGGAAAGGGGGAGGGCATATACTGGGGACATTGGTGGTGGAGAATGTGCACTGGTGGAGAGATGGGTGTTTGATCATTCTTGACTGAAACTCAAACATGAAAGCTTTGTAACAGTGTCTCATGGTGATCCAATAAGAAAGAAAGAAAGAAAGAAAGAAAGAAAGAAAGAAAGAAAGAAGAAAGAGAGAGAAAGAGAGAGAGAAAGAAAGGAAGAAAGGAAGAAAGAGAAAGAAAGGAAGAAAGAGAAAGAAAGAAAGAAAGAAGAGAGAGAGAAAGAAAGGAAGAAAGAGAAAGAAAGGAAGAAAGAAAGATAAAGAGAGAAAGAGAGAAAGAAAGAAAGATAAAGGAAGAAAGGAAGAAAGGAAGAAAGAGAAAGAAAGAAAGTAAGAAAGAAAGAAAAAAGAAAAGAAAGAAAGAAAGAAAGAAGGAAAGAAAGAAAGAAAGAAAGAAAGAAAGAAAGAAAGAAGGAAAGAAAGAAAAAGACACACCAAATGGGATTTGGGCACACAGATGGAAGTCTTACCTGTTCAAATGTTTTTAGGCCAGATTCTTTGCCGAGTCTCACCATGTCGTCCAGGATCGCTTTACTGACATCCTAAGGAGGGGGGAAGAGGAGGGAGTTTTGCCTGCTGCCCACACAGCCAGCTCTAAGGCCCACAGCCGCACCTGCCCACGCCTCACCTTGTTCCTGCACAGCTCGTCGAAGGATCCACTGAATCCCTTCTTCTTGGCCCAGGAAGATAACGCCTCAGCGTCGGGCACCACGATGCCCACGAGAAACGCCTTGAACACAGACAAGTGAGTTACTGTACGGCTTGATCGGATGCTGGGAGGTAACTGTCCCGCCGAGACACGGCCCTCTCTCAGCATGAGAGGCCTCTAAGCTGTGGCTAAGGCAGACCCGGTCCAGGATAGTGGCCATGGCCGGACTGTGGGAGAAGGTGCTTTCAGAGAACACCGGGAAGCAAAGGCCAACAAAACCCTCCTTCCTCTCCTTTTGTGACCACTTTCATCAACAGGGACAGAAGGCACAACTGCTTTGAAAAGAGGAAGTACATTTACACGGATTTTTTTTTTAAAAAAAACTATCCAAAGGTTTATTTTTACGTTTCCCCCCACCCCCCAGTACTATCTTTTTTGGGGGGTATCATACCAGTGATGCTCAGGGGTTACTCCTGGCTCTGCACTCAGGAATCACTCCTGATAGTGCTCGCGGTACCATATGGGATGTCGGGGACAGAACCCAGGTCAGTTGCGTGCGAGGCAAAGGCCCTCCCTGCTGTACTATCGCTCCAGCCCCTGTCCTTTACATTTTAGTTACAGAAAAATCAAGGATCGTTTTTGCATTTATTGACTCACCACAGGAAAACTAAATATCAAAGGATGATCTAGTAGGTACGATTCTAGATATGACACCGTCTCTTACAAGAAAATACTCTTCTAGGGCCAAGAGAAAGTACAGGGCTTAAAAGAGCTTGTCCTGCATGTTGCTGACCCTGGTTTGATCGTTTGATCCCTGGAACCTCATCTGACATTCATCCGGAGTGACAGAGAGCCAGGAGAAGGCCCTGAGCACCACCAGGTCTGGCCCAACCCCCAACTCCTCAAAAAATTAAAAAATACAATGAGAATAATCTATTAATGTCATTTTTAAAATCAAGATTTCTCCAAAGATAACTTTCTGGAAAGATAACTTCTTCTTGGTTCCCATCTATCTCCCCTTTGGGGGCACATGTTTGCATCGCCTTACTGACTTTAGTTTTTGACTCCAAATGTATGTTTGACTCTGCCCCTCTCGGAGAGCCCGGCAAGCTACCGAGAGTATCTCGTCCGCACGGCAGAGCCTGGCAAGCTCCCCGCGATGTATTCGATATGCCAAACACAGTAACAACAAAGTCTCCAATGGAGACGTTACTGGGCCCGCTCGAGCAAATCGATGATCAATGGGAAGGCCTTTACCTTTACCTTTACCACAATCTCCAGTTGCTCAAAAAAAAAATAAACCATAGGAGTTTCCTTAATAAGTTGAGTGTAGGGGCTGGAGCCCTAGTACAGAAGGGGAAGGCACTTGCCTTGCACACTGCTGAGCTGGGTTCTACCCCCAGCACCACATACTGTCCCCTAAGTCCCCCAAGGAGTGATCCTTGGGCACAGCCAGGAGTACGCCCTGAGCAACACCAGGTGTGGCCCTCCCCACACAAAACAAAACCATAAAAAGCTGACTTTAATTTGGAAAATATTCAACTTTTTTTTTTCTTTTTGGGTCACACCCGGCAATGCTCAGGAATTACTCCTGGCTCATGCACTCAGGAATTACTCCTGGTGGTGCTCAGGGGATCATATGGGATGCTGGGAATCGAACCTGGGTCGGCCATGTTGGCTGGTTGCGTGCAAGGCAAATGCCCTACCCGCTGTGCTATCGCTCCAGCCCCTCAACTTTTTTTTTTTTATAATCTACAAGTCACTATTTCCCTTGTGATAAGACTTTTTTTTTAAAACCTTATTCCCAGAATCTTTATCCAACAGACGCATGGAAATGAAACATTAAGACATACTAAGCAGAAAGCCCCAAGGATGCATCACTAATGTTCTGGCAAAGTCACCATCAGATTTAAGGACCGGGCAGTGCTGGCCACCCCCATGGGCTGTGGGCAGGTGGCCCCAGCAGGAAATGCCCACCTGCAAGCTCTCTCCATACACGAACACCTGCGCCACGGGCTCGCTTCGCATGTAGATGTTCTCGATCTTCTCAGGTGCGATATATTCTCCTTGGGCCAGTTTAAATATGTGCTTTTTCCGGTCGATAATCTTCAAGGTGCCATTCTAATCCACGGAAAGAGAGGGGGTCCTGTGAGTGGGTGCCTGGCTGGTTCCCACGGAGGCGCAACCCCACCCATCAGGGAACCCTTGAGAAACCTCGAAGAGCTTCGTGATGGTCCTATTACAGGGAGGAAAACAGAACCCTTGAGAGATTCCGCCGCTTAGCAGAGAGAGTGAGAGGCGACGCCTGAGCTCAGTTTCATTCTTCACTGTCGGTGGTTGGCCCTGGGTCGACCAGCAAGCCCTGCTAAGTCTGCAGCCTCCAGCTTAGCACAGTTCCTGGGGTCTCATGTCTAATCTCTAGTCATTTGATGGCACCTCTGTGGGGTCCTGTTCTTTGAGAACTGGGATGGGTTTAGCCACCCACAGCACTCAGCATGGACCAAGAGCTCTGGACACATTCCCTACAGAAAGGCTGATATCTTTCCTCGTTGGATCGAAGTGTGTGTGTGTGTGTGTGTGTGTGTGTGTGTGTGTGTGTGTGCGTGACACCCTGCCCCCGCAACCCCCTGAACCCTGTCGTCTGACTCCTAACATCATAACTGTGGAAATACCAGCATTCCTGTACCCAAAGTCCAGTAGTAACCAAACCCCGCCACTTAAATTCCAACCCCCTCCCTGTCCCCCCACACACCCCTCATTCCAGGGTCCTGCTCAAGCTTCCCAAAGTCATCTGGGAAAGTTTCCAGGGTTCTCTTGTCCTTTATTGCCTCGTTTCCACCTTCAAAAGGAGCAATCAACCTCCAGAGAGATTACGAGGTGTGTTCATTAGGGCTGGAACAGACTGAATCCCTCTGGGCAATCGAAAAAGGGGGCTTTATTTCTAGATAACGTAGGCATTCTGAAATCTGCATTAAGTTGAGGGAGTGGGTGCTGAAAGTAGGTAAAGGAACGAACATGATGGCCTCTCAACATCTGTGCGGCAAACCGTGATGAGCAAAATGAGAGAGAGGGAGAGAGGGAGAGAGAGAGCGAGAGAGAGCGAGAGAGAGAGAGAAAGAGAGAGAGAGAAGAGAGAAAGAAAGTGCTGGCCAAAGAGACAGGCTGGTGGGAGGGGGGCGGTGGAGGGAGGGAAACTGGGGGAAACTGGGGACATTGGTGGTGGGAAATTTACACTGGTGGAGGGATGGGGGTTGGGACACTGCATGACTGAAACCCAACCATGAACAACTTTGTCACTGTGTTTCTCATGGTGGTTCAACAATAAATACATGAATAAATTTCAAAAAATCTTGGGGACCTCAGTGATAGTACAGTGGGTAGGGAGTTTGGGCCAACCCATGTTCAACCCCCAGCACCCCATATGTTCCTCCGACACCACCAGGGTTAATTCCTGAGTGCAAAGCCAGGAGTAACCCCTGAGCATCATTGGGTGTGACCCAAAAAGAAAAAAAAATCTTGGGGGAGTGGAGATTTTTCAGGTGAACAGAAATTTCAGAGTATCAAGCACCTTAAACAGACAAGACTCGGACTCAGGACATCAATGGCATTGGCCGTGTTTGTGTCTGCCTTTAGACACACAGCCACAACTTAGACGAGGTCAGGGGTTTCCCACAGTATGTGCCATCAGCCAAACCGATAGTCAGAACAGTTTCCCGCCCAACATCTGTCACTCCTAAGTTTGACTCTGCAGTCTCTCTACAGTTAATGGTCCTGAGACTAATTTCAGAGGTGTTGGTCTGAGTCCTAAATTACTATGTGATACGTGTGTGCGTGTGCGTGTGTGTGTGTGTGTGTGTGTGTGTGTGTGTATGATAATCAACCTAAAAAACAGGCATCGTGCCCTGGGTATGTGCCTGGCCCCATCTGTTAGCCTGCCCCCCACCAAGTTTCCCTAAAGTCCCCACGTAAGGCGTGGCAGCTGTATGAAAATCCATCTCTCTAAATTTCAAATGAGGCGTGGCGACCAGAATTGCCCATATCAGAACCAGATCGTAGCAGATCATATCAGAATCAGATCATAAGCAACGAAATTTGCTAGTTTTTAGGGACTCATCTTCGGCAAAGGAGCCCCGATATGGTGCCATCCAACAGGAGAGGGGGAAGGAGGGTCCTGGGGTGTGGCCACTGGGGCGGGGGTGGGGTGGGGGGTGCGGCGCCCACTTACTGGTAACCATTTCCCAATGTCCCCCGTGTGCAACCAGCCGTCCTTGTCCAGAGCTTCCGCTGTTTTGCTTGGGTCCTTCAAGTAGCCTTGAAATACATTTGGCCCTTTGATACACACCTCAGGAGGGGAAAAAAAGAAGGTGTTCACAGCATTAGGGAGCTTTTCCCAAAAAAGAAAAGTGCGGGCGTGCTTGCATGTGTGCCTCTGGATTCCCCAATTCCCGGGGCGTTGGGAGAAGCCCCAACACCCCACTCCCCATCCTTAATGAACGCTGCAGCTGCCATCAGTGCGGGCAGGGAGACCAGCCCCAGTTGTAGCGAAGCCCCAAAGGGGGCGAAATCACTTTGCGGTAATTAGGCTTTCATTCTGCAGGCCAGTGGCTCACTAATGGGCACCCAGGGCAATTAGCAGGCGGGGCTGTCCCAGACCACGGGTCGCTGGAGATCACGTGTGTGCTCGTGGGGCCGAATCCCGCCCAAGCCCCCCCCCCCCCCCTCCATCACTTCAGTGTCCCTGACTCTAGGATCACACTATCCATCCCAGTGGCTCTCCAAGGCTGTGAGCGGAATGCACAGCGATTGTCACAGGTGAGCAGCAGGGCAGCCAGCGAGGGTGGTGGCCTGGGGTGGGGGTGGACTGGACTCACCTCCCCCTCGCCCTTGGCCGCCATGTAATTCATTTCTTCCACATCAACCAGCTTTATGGAATTGCAAGGCATGGGGGCACCGACGTGGCCTGTATATTCAATGAGAAAGAATGATCACTCCTAAGGGGGTGACTGATATCCTTAGGCCAAATTATCTTTGATGAGAACGGTTGGCACCCCCTTCTGCTGTCTGCAATGAGAGTCCGTCTCTCTGTGGCCGAATGAAGTCAGAGAGCGTCTCCCTAGAACAGACAAAGCCATTCAAATGGCCCCCAAGGAACCTTGGTCAGGTTTGAGGCTCCAAATTATTTTTCAAAGTATAAATAATCTGGCTCCCGATTTTACGGGGGCTTTACGAACACCAGGAGGCAAGCTTTCTAAAAACTCTCTCTGGCTCCTAGGATGGGAAGACTGAGATGGTCTTCACAATCACAATCACGACCATCCTGTTATTCGTCGATTGCCTCGAGCAGGCCCCAGTAATGTCTCCTTAGTCCTAACCCTGAGATTTTTAAAAAAGTGCCATATTCAAGGCTCTTTCAGAGTTAGGAGAATGAGAACCTTCATTGTTACTGGTATTTGGCATATTGGGTATGCCACGGGGAGTTTGCCAGACTCTGCCGTGTGAGCAGGTTACATTCGATAGCCTGCCAGTTTGTCCAAAGAAGGAATGAGATGATAAGATGGTCTTCATGGCGTCTCAAATCTCTGTCATGGTAGTTGCCAGCTCTCAGACACCAGCAACGGTGAAGCCATGCCCCTTTGCCCTGTGGGGCGTTGCGTCCACTACCTGCAGTCCAGTCTCCGGGCAAGGTCAGGCAGCAGCCGGCAGTGCACTCGGTCTGTCCGTAGCCTTCGTAGAACTGAAACAAGGCCAGAGGGGAACAGTCGCGCCTGCTCTGGTGCACTAGGGATTGTTGGGGGGGGAGGAGGAAGGGCGCCCTCTGACCAGAGGTTCCCGCATGAGTCTGGCCTGCCCCTCGCTTTCATGAAACACAAACACACTCTTCTCAGTGTCCTAGCGTCCTGTGGAGATCGGCTGCTTTTAATCCCCCACACACAGAGAGTGTCCCCAAATGAACTCAAGGTGCCCCCCCCCCCCGGATTATTCCAGCACCTTCTCCCAGGGGGTGCAGTATTGCCCCCTGGGAGAAACACCATCCTCCATCGCTGGGGTGGAACTGCTTCTCATATGTCCTGTCAGGTCCATCTGCCCAATGCCAAAATGGACTTCATCACAGTCCTCTACACCTCCACCCTGGGACCAGGTCCAGCTGCTGCCTGGCACACGGGGTTCAGCGAGGATCGAGGGAGGGAAGCCCGGTGTGGCATAATGGGCCTGGCTGTGGGCCTCCCGCCCTGGCACCGCCAGCCCTTTCAAACAGGTCCACAGCATGATCTCTGGTCTGCCCATGCCTTGTCACTCATGTGCGTTTCCCATGCTCTCCCTGCCTAAATCTAAAAGCCCATATGTGGATTGTGCCTTGTGTTGGAGGAAAATTAAGTGGTGGACACAAAGGCCAATTTCTTGGCCTGAGGATATGAGACACGAAGAAGCTAGTTGTTCATAAGCATCTTTCGTACAGTTTATGCATACATATGCCACATACATGCCACATGTCATGTATATATCACCTATCACATACATCTTACATACCATGCATATGTACAGAATTTTGTATATGCCTCTATGCATTTACTTCTGCAAGCAGCCTCGTAGTCATATGACCCTCCAGATCAGGCAGTGGCGCCCACACATGATGGAACAGTGCGTGCGGGAGGGTGCGGGGGTGGGGGCACATTCGTAGCCTCACCTGGCAACCGAGGGCCGCTCGAAGGAAGGTCAGCACAGTGGCGGACACGGGCGCCGCTCCTGTGACCATCAGCCGGACTTTTCCTCCCAGGCTTGACTGCCACGGTGGGAAGAGGGGAGAGAATGAACGAGGGTCAGACAGCTGGGCCTCGGTGGGCTCCTCTCAGCCACCCGCTTGGAATCCTGCCCCTCACCTCTCCCACCCCCCTTGGCCTTCTGCTTCCCACTGATGTGTGGGGAACACCTGCCTGGAGTTTGTTTCCACCTGGAACGATGCCATCTACCTTTACTTGTTGGTGGTTCTTGGAGTTATAAAAGGGTAGGCTGGACTTGGGGGCAACTGGTCAACCACCAACCTGCGGCATTCCACATGCTTAACTATTCAGGTTAAAATCAACCCCAAAAATTGTCTCAAGAGGGACATACTTGTTCCAGAAAAGCAAAACAAAACGGACGCGGAGAGAGGCTGCAGTACCCCAGTTGTTGAGATTTGTCTTGGGTACTAGGGGGAACCTCTTGATTTTGTCCTTGATTTTTTTGGAAGTGTGACAAGGTGAAGGAAGCATATTCTCTCCTTCACCTCCATGCCCCACCCACCCTCTCTTTTGCTAAACGCCCTTGCAGGAATTCTGGAACCCAGAGTTGTGTGCCCGAGAAGAAGGGGTGTACGCGGGTACCTGGATTTTTTTGAAGATGAGTTTATCCCACAGGCTGTTGTTCCGAACGATGCCACTGCGAAGCTCGGCCTCCTTCCGTTTGGAGGCGAAGTCCAACATCCACCGCTTCACTGTGCTGTTCGCTTGGCTGAAAATCTAATGAGTCAACAAATGAGAAGAGTTCATGCCCACCAGGACTGCTTGGACTAGAGAGAAAAATCTGGGAATAACAAGGGTGGTGAGGAATGTGGGGAAGTGGGAATCATCACATTCTTGCTAGCGGGACCGGACATGGTGCAGTTACTTTAGACAAGAGGCTGACGCTCCTCATGTGGGGAAACTTAGACCTCTGGGAGCGTAGGGAGCAGATACCAAGAAGAACAAAAGCACTTCTTTACATGGAGACCTGTGCATGAATGTTCACAGTGACCTTTGATTCATGAGAGCTGAAGAGGGGGAACCATCCAGCCGTCCATCACTGTGTCCCATTCACATGCTGGAACATGACTCAGCTACTGAAAAAGGACAAAGCTGGGCTCTGTCGCCACATGAATGAATACTAAGAACACCCTATGTCAAAGAGGGTAGTCACGAAAGAACGCCTCCTCCATGAGTCTACTGGCCCTTCTGAAAGTCCAGGATAGGGAAATCTATAGTTCCAGGGGTAGAAACGCTGTGGGTAGGAACTTGGAGGTTGGGGGGAAGGTGGAAGGTGAGAGCTAAGGGGTTCTTTTTTTGAGGTACTTGATGTATTTTGAAATGGACGGTGGTGATGAGTGAATCATCATGAATATATTAACAGCCTCAGATCAAGGATCAGGGAGGTAGTCCAGGGGTTACAGTTGTACTAAGGGGTCAAATCCTGCTTTGGTACCACAAAGCCTCCTGGGCATCGCCAGATGTAGCCCAGGTGGTCACCCAAGCAGCACCTCATCCTCAGGACCTCACCTGGCACCACCACCTTGTGGTCTCAGGGCCATGGAGCCCCCAAATCCCCCAACCCTCAATCCCAGCAATAACTCTGAGCTGTATAATACAAAATGGTGAAGAGCTGATATGTAGATTATTTCAATAATGATCTCAAAAATTTTTTAAAAAAGTAACCATTAGAAAAAAGAAGGTTCTCATAGATGCCAGAATCTCTATCTCAATCAGCATAAGGACCATGAGAAAGAGCCCAGGCCAAATTCACTGCAGAGACAGTGGCCATTCCATTCCTGTCCAGCCGCTGCGGGTAGCTGGTCCCAGGGGAACGGCCTTTTCAGTCTCGGGTTTGGCCATCAAGAAAACCGTTACATCCTGACAGTTTTCATGTGATGCAATCTGCCCCTTCACTTCCCAGCGAGTGGGTAGGGGTGAGGTGATAGTATATGAAAAACAGAAAACTACCAAGAGCTTCTGGTAAAAATATAGTGAGATTCCCCAACCCCCACCATGCCCCCCACCCTGCTCCTTATGCCTGGGTTTTGTCTAATGGTTTATGAAATGTGTTCTTGTGCAAACCGTTTTTCTCTCAAAATCTTAATCAAAGGCTCTGTGGGTTCAATACATTCCTGTTTTATAGATGTACAAAGGACAGGTCCTTGGGGGACTCAAGGGCATTTTCTGTGGTTTCCTGCTTAGTCCAATTCAAACCTACGTCTTGGACTCAAAGCCCAGGGCTCTGTCTCCCGCTCTGCTGCTTGGGACTTACTCGGTCAAACATCCGGTTCAGTAGTCTTGGGACCACAGGAAAGACAGTGGGTTGGAGCACCTTGAGGTCATCCATCAGCAGCCTGATATCTCCTTGGAAAAATCCTATTTTTGCTCCATGACACAGCATTACACACTAGAGGGAACGGGAAGAACCAATCATGCTGTCACTGCAGTGGCGTGAACACGAGCGAACACACAGGCTTCACTTTCAGGCAAATCTTGGATTTCCTAAACACAGTCAGCTTTCTAGAAAACGGATTTGCATTCTTTGATCATTACGCAACATGAAAATGCGGCATTTTTCTTATCAGCCTTACCCACTGAAGAGAAAGCGGTGGGTTAAAAAAAAAAAAAAAGAACCAGGGATTGTTGTTTTGGATGATCCGAGGTTCTGCTATTTTAACCTCATGATACATATCTGCTGAGTGAATGACATGGTATTATGTAAGCAAAATATATTTTTAGCCTCTCAGAGATTTTACATCGAATTTATTTTCAAAACAAAGACTTTGCTACTTGTCAGCCATCCAAGCTTATTAATGTCTCGTTTTCTTTTATTTGAAGCTAACTGAAAAATTTCTAAAAGCCACGTCAATACGCTGCAGTGGTAACGTTAGGACATCCAGGCTGGCTTGCTAGTCAGCAAAAATCCATCCCACCCACTTTTCCTCCTGTCTAATGCAAATTGTAATGGCAAGCCAGATGCGTGTGACAAAGAATCTGCCTATTTTCAGTTTTCAAAAGAAAGATTCAAAAGGCGACGCTACAGAGGTACAGCCATCTCAGGCTTGAACGATGAGACCACTAGGAAGACAGATCCTGGTTCCCCGTTTCAGAGGGAAAGCTAAGGAGGCTCTTGTTCAACGGCCTGCCTCTCACAAATACTTTTATTTTTTGTTTGGGGGGCCACAACCGATGTTGCTTGGGGTTTACTCCTGACTCTGCACAAAGGGATCATTCCTGGTGGTGGGCTCGGGGGACCATAGGTGGTGCTTGGGAGTCATTCGGGTAGGCCTCATGCCAGCAGCCTGCCCGCTGTACTATTGTGTCAGCCTCCCCCAAATAGTTCTAAGATGAAAGTAGGTAGACACGTTCTGTATGAACTCATCTGAGATCACTCCACAGTCTCCCAAGATTTCTTGAGGTGAAGTGGAAGAGGGGACCCAGTGATTCTTGATCCTTTAGAGGAAGTAACCCCACAGGGTAGTGACCAGTTGCAAAATAAGGACCCCTTAGTTATCTCCCATCTCCAACATCCAGCACGGCCCTGGTGGCTGCTGAGGTTGTAGCTTTCAGTGGTGTGCCTTGAACACCCTTGGCTGCAGTGTGCACTTGAGGCCCGTGCTCCTGAGTTGGAGACCACGTACTTTGTTTCGGTTCTGGGGATCCCAACTGGCAGTGCCACCAGGAGTCACACGTGCCATGTGGGGTACAGCCGAGATGGAGACCGAACTCAAGATCTGCTTGCAAGTCAGGTGCTCTATCACCGAGCCCCCCCACCCCCCAAATCCATGGTGTTGAACAGCACCGTTCCTAGTAGGGTTGGATAAAGAATTATCCACAGTGGGTGACTCTCTACATATCACACTTACCTGCATCATTTGCTCATACATATGTGCAAGTGGCAAGTAAGAAATGTGTGTGTCACTGGGTTTCAGGGGAAGGACTTTCTGTAAAACAACAGAACACAAAGAAGCAAAAAGAAAAACGAAACTGCGGGCCTACCTCTACGACTCTCTCAAACATATGGGCGAGTGGCAAGAAAGAGATCAGAGTGTCAGCTGGAGAAGGAAGCAGTATTGTCTGTAAGCAGAGGCGCCAGCAAGGAAGAAAATGAAAAACATTTAAGCTTTCCAGTTATTATCCACTTTTATTTCAGAGCACATGATACCTCAACACGAAGAAGAAACAGTTTTGCTTTTCTTGCAATGATTTTATTTTTTGGCCATCATTTCTCATCGAAGGATAAAATGAAAAGCAACGGTCTCATTATGTAAAAAGATTAGAGGTCATTTGTCACTTAGAAATATTGTTGGGGGTCCCACCCAGGCGATGCTGGGGGGTGGGGGAAGTGGACGGATACGTATACTGTTGGTGATTACGCAAAGCATGTGTGCTAGCTATCACACAGCCTTGGCCTTTGATGTCACTCCTACGCCAAAGTGAATCCTTGTCAGGACTTGACTTGACTAAACTAAGGACAATGTGATTCAAATTGGGATGTTAAGGGATCATGTGCTCTAATCATTTAGTATTTTAAAGTTATAGTACCCAAATGCCCAGCAAGCTCAATTCCACCTTAAGATAAGGAATACAAGATTTATTCCAACACCAGAGAGCATTATTATGCTGTCAAGGGAAAGAGTGAGATCCAAAAGATGATCATCTTTTTTCTTTTTCTCCAAGGTCTTTATATTTACAGCATAAATACATCTTACAGCATAAATACATCTTGGCTATCTCAGATCGATCAATATCTTTACTTCGAAGTCCTAACTCCTCCTGTGACAAATACTGCCAATTTCTTCGAAAGAGAGCTCTGCACTCAGCAAATTTGCTCTTCTATAAAATGTGATAGGTCTGTATCTAGAGACGCTTTGGATATCTGGTGTCCATTCTGCGGTTCAGAATGGAATTTATAGACATAGTACGGGAGGAAGGAGTTTTCGAGAAATTCTAAAGTTCTGAGCATAAATAAAGAACAGTGACCAGAGCAGCTGCCGCCACATGGCAAGAAATGGTGGCACTGTCAACTGTAGCCGCAGCCCTGGGCCTCGTGGTTCTACTTCTTTGTCCAGTTTTTGGGTCAGTCAACTGCACTCACGGCTTATTCCTGGTGGAGCAGAAGACCATAGGAGGTGGCGGGAATCAAACCTTGGTCAGCTACATGTGTGCAAGACAAGTGCCATACGCACTGTACTATTATTACTCTAGCCCTCTGATGCCCCACTTCTGAGCCATGTCTTCCCCTCGGCAGGCTTACCCACACCATCCAGTACTGTGGCACTGGGTGGATGCATCTGTGCTGAGCCAATACAGTGGCCCAAGAGCAAGTGACACAGGAGGAACCTGGATGGAATTGGGCTCGATTGTATTCAGCTGTGCCCGCATTCCCACCCTGAGGGAAATCATTCCATGAGAAATCAGACTCGATGATGCCCATAGTTTTCTTCTTTTTTTTTTTTTTTTTGCTCTTTGGGTCACACCTGGTGATCCACGGGGGTTACTCCTGGTTCATGCACTCAGGAATTACTCCTGGCGGTGTTTGGGGGACCATATGGGATGCTTGGAATCGAACCTGGGTCGGCCGCATGCAAGGCAAATGCCTTACCCACTGTGCTATGGTTCCAGCCGCCAATGATGCCAATAGTATTCAATGTCTGAATCTGTATCCAGAATGATGCCCTCTAGCATGACTAGGAGTTTTTCAAAGTTAAGAACTGGACCTTGATAATATAATTGATTTTAGGCAAAGTTTTGTGGCCATTTGCCTTTGAGAGCCATGAATAATACACTCTAAGTCTTCTTTTGGAGACCAATTAGAAAATTAAAATTTCACTTTGGTGAGTACTAAATCAAGATTTAGTTTCTACCAATTTTGATTTGGTACCTACCAAAGGGGGAAAAAAAAGACATTTTGGATTAAAGAAGCTTGAGTGTTAAGTCAAGGTGAGACCAGCCTTCTGCAGTCAACAGAGTTTCATTCTCCCCAAAGTACAGACCCTTGCCCCCAAAATTAGGGTTACTGAACAATCCCAGAAACTGTAAGAGCAAATGACGCAAAATGTCAAAAGAGTATGAAGCAAAAGCATTATTTTGCCGAATTAAATTGTTCAACAAGTACCTGTTTAGAAAGTACTTCAGAAAGGTACTTATTGAACTAGATAATTCCTTAAGATCATAGAAAATCAGTTAAATTCAAAGCTTTGATCCTTGTCATAAAGTGGAGGTCCAGGCACCCATACTAAACATTCGCTTAAGAGTAATTTAGTAAAACGTAAAGACTTCAGCAGCTTCTAACCTTTCGCGTTATCAATGTCAAGAAATCACCCCATCCACTCACCCCCTACCCCCATGCTGTAATAGTAGATTGAAACCACAAAACAACAGTTATTTCTTCCCGTACTGTCCCGGAAACATTAATAGGAGTTATTCAAATAACATTACCCTATGTACAAGCTGCAATTAATACATCTATCTCTCAGTTCCCCATAAGGACAAAAGTGGGAATTGTGGATTTGGCCCACAACCAAAAGTACTTGAGAGATCTTAGAATATATTTAAGTTCAATCCTTTAATTATTTGTTTTTGTTTTGGGGCACATTCAGGGAAGCTCAGGGCTTACTCCTGGCTCTGCACTCTGGAGTCTCTCCCGAGTGGGTTTGGGGGACCATATGGGATGCCAGAGATTGAACCCAGGTCAGCTGCATACCAGGCAAACACCCTCTTTGTACTATTGCTCTAGCCCTGAAGTTCAAAGTTTAACCATATTAACTGTATTTCAGACAATGCCCTTAGTACAGCTTCCCACCAACCATGCTGCTGGTTCTGCCTTTACCTCTGCGTTCTTTTTCATTTTTTTAAAAAAAAGCATTAAAAAACTTGTTTTACTAAATTTTGCAATGTCACACACTCCGGTGTTAAAATTCTTCAGATTGCATTCTTGGGGCTGAATGCCAATGTCTCTGAAGAAAGATGGCAATACCCCTAAAGTTTACCTCTGTCACTTTCACGAAGGCCGAACAATCGCTTATGATATTTCGGTGGGTGATGAGTGCTCCTTTGGGGTTGCCTGAGGGACAGAGAGGAAGGGACCTAGTCAGAGCACAGTGGGGAAGGGGACAGCGTCCTTGTGTGCCACGCTGGCCAGGGGTCATTTGTTCCCATCCACATTAGAGCGAACTAAGTTGAACAAAGCAACTTTATTTGAGGACCAGGTTTCTTTTTAAGTGGTTTTGCGTTATGAGCCCAAGAACCTATAGAGAGGACATTCGGTGATGATCCTTCGCCCGAAAGAATCCATCCACGCGGGAGAAAAATGAGGACAGCCCAGAAAGCCTTAAAGCAGAGAGCCTCAAATACCTCCCGTGTCGGGCAAGACCCAAAAGTCCCACGGGATTCGCGAGCAGCCTCCCACCCGTGACACAAAACGCAGTGGCTTCATCTTTATGAACACGGTAACTTTCAGCAGGAGATGTAGTGAGCACAGACGAACCAGGCCTTTAATTTGGGAAGTCATGAGTATGATCTGTTCCCAGAAGTTGGCTGGCGGGTGGCATTTTCAACATTGAGGACACACACATACTCTGAGGGAGGAGTCTGCAGCAGCGGAGGTATGACCCCATGGCAGCATATGACACCCGTCCATCTCTGCTTCACCCCCGTATCACTCAGTCCCCAGAGTGGTGGCCAAGAAAACTCTCTGGCTAGACACCTCAGAAGCAATCCCTGTCTTAAGCTTACCTGTGGTTCCACTTGTAAAACAAATCACGGCCAGATCTTCAGGCTTTGGGGGCTAGGTGACCATTGAAAAATAAAACAGATATGCAGGTGGTTACCAATCAGGACAAGAAACCAGCTGGCCCCAGAGGCCACCCAAGATTCCCAGCAGAATGCAGAGTGACAGGACACTGGGGCAGACAGAGGCTGGGCAGAGGCTGGCACTTACCCTGGGCTTCTGGCGGTGGGCTCTTCCCAGGTCCTGAATCAGAAGAGAAAAACCATGTTAAAGGGGACTTTCCCCATGGGCCCAGAAGGTCCGAGTCATGAGAGAGTCAGTCAATTCCCAGGTGATCCAAACAGAGCCCACATTTGAAAATGAGATACTCCATGCCAATGTGACTGACACGGAACCAGCATGGTACTTCATCGTGCCCAAAAGCCAGTTTCCTGGCATCGTTTGTCTTACGGCTAGAAAAGGGCTATTAAGGATGGGTCCTGGAAATCACAAGGTACTTTTGAGTACTCTGACTTACTTCACTTAGCATAACAATGCCTATAAGGTTCACCCAGGCTGTCAAAGCATGGCAAGATTTCTTGTTTTAAATGAATAGTTGAGGGGCTGGAGTGAGAGCACGCAGCCAACCCGGGTTCAATTCCCAGCATCCCATATGGTCCCCGGAGCACCACCAGGGGTAATTCCTGAGTGCAGAGCCAGGAGTAACCCCTGAGCATCGCTGGGTGCGACCCAAAAATTAAAAAATTAAATGAATAGCTGACTGGATTGTACACTGTGGATCTTTATCTGTATTTATGTGCATAAGCAAGTGTATCACATTTTCTTCATCCACCAGTGGACACTTGGGCTGTCTCCTCATACTGTAAATAGAGCTATGATGGATGTGAGGGGGCAGCTATGTTTTTGAGTTGCGGTTTTCTTTCTCTTTGGTAAAGTGAAACTGATAGATCACACGGCAATTCGATGCTCAATGTTTTTGAACATAGTTTGCAAAAACATACTGTTTCCCAAAGCGGCTGCACATTCCCAACAGTGCAGAGGGCTCCTGCCTTTTCCCATCCTCACCAATACCTGCCATTTCCTGTTTCTTGGGGAACAGCCATACACACAGGTGCTACCACTGGCTTTGAGTTGCATTGGTCTGATGCTTAGTGATATCAAAAGGTTTTCAAGAACCTGTGGAACATCTGCATGTCGGACTAGTCTTTCAAACAGAGCTTTTCCTGAAACACAGGAGCCGAAGGCTCTCACTGTACTCCTTTTTGTTGTTTTTGTTTGAGGGCCATCCCTGTGATGCTCACAGGTTATTCCTGGCTCTACATACAGGACTCAGACCTGGTGGTGCTGGGGGGCTCATATGGAACGTTGGGGATTAAACCTGGGTCTGCCGTGTGCAGGGCCAGTGCTTCTTGTCCCCATTCCCATTCCTGTTCGTTCTCACCCTTTACAAAGCGGAACCAAGGACCTGCAGATGGTCCCATCCTGCCCGCAGAGCTGCCACCTCTAACCTGGGTGGGTGGGGGGGGGAACCGATTAATCCCTGTCAGATTGAAGTGCTGACTATTCTGCAGAGCTTCAAAAATATGTCGCCCTCTCCGCCACATGGGGCAGGAAAGAAGGAATTGGGAATCTTCTGTTTGAAAATAAGCTAAGCCACATGGTGTCTGGGCTCCTTCTGAAATGGATGGGGAATTAAGAATGACAGTCAGCCGAGGTGCAGCGTTCCCCAGCGGCTGGTCCTGGCAATGCACGTGGTTCCCTTAGAGGTTCATTTACTGCATGGAGGGATTCTCAGTGGCCGCTGTGACATCTACTCCTTCGTAAATGGATCTATTTATATTGTTTTCCTGTTAAAGCCAGATAGAATAGGCCTATGAAGTTAGCATGTCTAGGATTTCATGGAAATTAGGATTCCCTAAAGTTCTGTCAGTATCTCATTTTAAAGTTTTTTTTTTTTATCTTAATCACAGTTAAAATGATAGTGTCTTTGTTTTGTTTTTGTCTTGGGGTCACACCTGGCAGTGCTCAGGGGTCACTCCCAGCAGAGCTCGAGTGACCAGGCAGTGCAGGGGATTCAGACGTGGGCCATCTGCATGAAAGCGTGTGCTCAAGGCATTAATCTTCTCCCCAGTACTATGTTATATACGTAAGTGATGACTGATCAAAGGAGGAACGTCTTAATAGAGAATAGGCATCATTTCCCCCCTTCGACAATCTTTAATGGATCCAAATTTGTGTTTAGTTCTTTTTATAATATGTTCAAAATTATTAGATAATTTCTGTCTTGAGATTGCTAATTTGTAAAAACAAACAAACAAACAACAAAACAACAACAACAAAAAATAAAACGGATCCTAAAGCAATAGTTACACGCAACTTGACTTTTGATTTCATGGGAACTTTATCCAAATCAGCGTACTATTTGCCAAGAAAAAGTCATAGCCTGAAACCTGTCTTATCTCATTGTTTAGGAAGAAGATAAAAAATTATAAAAATAAACAAGTTGCTACCTTTAGGTTATGAATGTTGGGAAAGACCATAAGTAGAAGAAATACTAAGTATGACCCAATAATGAATTTGATCAAATACTTAGGGATGGTGAAACCTACAACCTACTGGAAATGCATGAAAGAGATGTGCTGATAAATGAACAGAGGAATGCGTTGATGGTTAACAGTGATATAAATGCTCTCTGGAGATTGTGGTGAAATAAGGTAGTGTACTTATACAATTATGTCAACTTGTTGGCATGCTTTCAAATCTTCCTGATAAGGGCAAGAGGTACAAATGACAGATACCAAGTTTCTGCTTTTGGCCCTATAAAAATATACATGAATATAACATCATTACATGATCAACTATAAAGCTAGTCTCCTTTCATCTCTCTCTCCTTCTCTTTTCCCATACTTGGAAGTGCTCAGGGATCACTCCTGGTGGGGTTCAACGGACTATAAGTGCTGCCAGGGACAGAACCTGGGTTTCCTGCACATATGTCTCTTACCAACTTTACTATCTCTCTAGCCCTATTTACTCTTTATAAAGTGAATTCATTTCTTTAAAACATTGCTTTTTCTTATAAAATTTGGAAAAGTCAAATATAAGCAGGTAGGTATTCCTAGAAGGTTTTAATATAAACTCTATATTATAATCTTCAGTCACTCATCCAAATGAGATTTTAATCTTACAATGACAGTGGGATCTCAAATAACCCTTGGGGAATGAGCACTATCTTTCCCCACATCATCACTAAACATCTCCATTTAAGTTTTGATTCCTAGAAAATGAAGTTATTGGCAGCTTACACTGACAGGAAGATAGTGATAAAGTAACTAACAGGCTGTTGACCCATTTTTTTGGTATAGTCTATATTGCGTACTATGGCCATACAGTGAAGTCACTGTCACTGTCACTGTCCTCCTGTTGTTCATCAATTTGCTCTAGCAGGCCCAGTAACGTCTACATTGTGACAATTGTTACTGTGTTTGGCATATCGAAACATCACAGGTAGCTTGCCAGGCTTTGCCGTGCGGGCAAGATACTCTCGGTAGCTTGCTGGGGCTCTCCAAGAGGGGCGGAGGAATCGAACTCGGGTCGGCTATGTTGGCCACTTGTAAGGCAAACGCCCTACCTGTTGCACTATCACTCCAGCCCATACAGTGAAGTAAAATAAGACTTTTTTTTTTCTTTTGGGGTCATACCTGGCGATGTACAGGGGTTACTCCTGACTCATGCACTCAGGAATTACTCCTGGTGGTGCTCGGGGGACCATATGGGATGCTGGGGATTGAACCTGGGTTGGCCACATGCAAGGCAAACGTCCTACCCGCTGTGCTATTCAGTCAGCCCTCAGGAAAATGTTTTGTAAAAGATGATACAAAGGAGAAAACACATTTAAAGTACTGAATGGGGGAAAAAAAAAACACATGCATATGGCTCCACATAGTCCCAGCCTGTGCTATTCAAGAGTCAGTGGTACTTCTGTGTCTGTGTGTGTGTGTGTGTGTGTGTGTGTGTGTGTGTGTGTGTAGGAAGGTGGGGAGAAAGAACGATCAGGAAAAACAGATGATATCATTATAAAAGGATTAACAAAACAAAACAAAAATGGCAGCCATTCCTGTCAGCACTTATTCATGTATATTTTGATAGGACCAAAGGCAGAAACTTGGTGTCTGTCATTTGTTCCTCTTGCCCATATTATTAAAACAAAATAAAACAAAAAGCAGGGAAATGCTAGGTATAAAACAACTGGTTTCCACAAAAGAGCACTGTAGCCAGCTCACAGGAAATCATACTCTAGGCTGCGTGTGTGTGTGTGTGTGTGTGTGTGTGTGTGTGTGTGTGTGTGTACACATGCGAATAAGGCAGAAGGCTGTACTAGAATCTACTTATTTTCAGCTTCAAATTCTCTGCAGGTGTCTAAATAAAGTGGAAACCATAAGAGTACCAGGAAGGTATCAGCAATTGTCCAAGTGTCCAAGAGAAAAGGACTCTCCGGGGGTCTACAGCCTACAGCTTCCTCTGTGTGTCAAACGGGATCTGCCTGCTGCTCAAACTCAGGAACAGATCCCAATCTCTGCTCAGTTGGAGGAACTGAATTCTTAGATGATCAGATGCCAGACAACTAGAGTAAACACGGCTCCTGCTCATTAGCCTAGTACCTGTTACCTATCGGGATGTGAATAATGTGAGTTGAAAGAAATTTAGTCGGGAAAAAACCCAAATCAAACATCTGGGCTGAAATTTGCCCAGACTCTGTAAAAGCAATCTGGGAAAAAGAAAGAGGCAACTTTTTATTTCTTCCTCCGCTGTAAAAACAAAATTCAAGCCTAAAGACACTGTACACACTGAAACCTCCACCTGAATCTGAAAGTCCAGCGTGTTTTGACATGGCTCGCCAACGTTCTAGAACAAGATGTGAGCTGTGTGATGCCCTTTATGAGATGGGTTTCTTAGGATGTGATGGGTCAACACTGGCATCCACATGTTCAACTATGTTTTGTCGTAATAAGGCAGGAATTTCTGCTATGTCTTTTTGGAGGGGTACTCCCTCCCTGACCATATTATTAAACCCCCCTGGCAATGCTCAGGGCTTACTCCTGACTCTGCACTCAGGAATCACTCTTGCTGATGTTTGGGGAACCATGTGGGGTTCTGGGTATCAAACCTGGGCCAACTGCGTGCAGGGCAAGTGCTGTTTCTCTGGCTCCTGCTGTGTCTCTCTTGGGATACTGACACTCTCAGTCAGAGATGGGGTGCTGGGGTGGCACTGATGCACTGGAGACCAAATGGTCTCAGGGAGAAACCCTGAAGAAGAGGCTAGAAGGTAGAAGGACTTACCTGAAATGCCTTTAAAGTCATCATTTCCACCCCAAGCTTCTTGCCTTGTTCAAACACATCGCTGGAACTATCTTCCATTATAACTATGGTCTTAAGGCCTGGCGTCAGCTTATTTTCTACACCTTCTAATAAGAGCTTGGCCTTCTCTGGCTTGTCCACAAACACTAGGGAGAGTTCAGCTGGAAATGAAGCAAAACAATGAGGAAGGAATATGGAATGAAGCTAGTATGAAGAGCCAGAGGCATCTCACACAGGCTATTTCAAGTGCTACATTTTTGTTTTTGTTTTTGTTTTTGATACCATGTCAAGCTGTGCTCAGGGCTTACTCTTGACCCTGCACTCAGGGATCATTCTTGGTGGGTTTGGGAGACCATTTGGGGTGCCGGGGTACAAAGAGAATGGCCAACCCTTTGTACTATCTCTCCAACCCTCATATGCTACATTCTTTTTAAAGGTAGACCACATATCAATATAAAATCCTGATCAGACCCAACTGAAGTGGTGTAAAGGCATCAAATCGAATCAATAATTCAAAGACTGCAAACGTACCTTTGTTGACTATGTAGGTAATTGCTTCTGTGCCAAGGGTATCGTAGAGGGGAACGGGCACCATGGAAAATGCAAAGCACCCCAGCTCAATGATCACCCACTGAACAAAACAGTAAAGGTTGGGAGAGAAAACAAGATGTCACTAGGAGACCAGCACTTTAGAGACTCACACTGAAAGCCTTGGATGTCATGGGAGGAACAATGCATATGTACACTGCATGTCTACTCTATGTATGCTGCGTATCCACTCTATGTACACTGCATATCTATTCTAGGTGCCATGCAGAATTAGTGTTTCACTGGGAAAGTGCAAGTTTTCCTGAAGAACGGACACAGGTACGTTTGAAGACAATTAGCAATGCAACTTTGAGGCTGGCATGGAGGCCAGAACCTTGGAGAGAGGTCGCTGGGCCTGCCCTTGGCAAGAGTAGAAAGGTCTGGGCAGATGGAGAGAAAGGCTGGGAGACTTCACCAACGGTGCAGATGGGGGCGGGGGGGATTTGAAAATGTGGGTCGGGGGTGGGGGAGGGCAGTCAGTATATGGCTGTTCCAAGCAGGAACCCACTTCCCAGGGGACAGTGGCAAGCAAGGCTAGAAAGGTGACAGCAAGTCTGCAGCCACACAAGAAGCCTGGCGCCACTACCCAGGCAACGCATGGCCCCGCCAGACAGTGAGTGTGGGGCTTGGGAGAGCTGGAGGGAGCCCGGAAATTGGAGGACGAGGGACTTGCTCTCCTTACAGGAACATCATCCCTGCAAAATCGCCTCAGAGAAGTGATGAGAGAAAGGAGCAATGCCCTAACTGGCCTCTAAACCTGTTGTCCGTACTAAACCAACCCACAGAGATAGCACCAGTGAATGGGTCTGTCTTCTCTTATGTGGCCCCTCACAGACAGGATCCAAGTATTTGCTCTGCTTTTATGTTGCTTACAAGGCCTGGCACATAGCAAATGTTCAATAAACATTTGTTGAACAAATTCTTTGTGTTTTTTTTTTTTTTTTTTTGCATTTTGGGTCACACCTGGTGATGCTCAGGGGTTACTCCTGACTCTGCACTCAGGAATCACCTCTGGCGGTGCTCAGTGAACCGTATGGGATGCTGGGAAGCGAAACTGGGTCGGCCGCCTGTAAGGAAAATGCCCTACCCGCTGTGCTATCGCTCCAGTCCCTCTTGAACAAATTCTTGAATAGGGAAAGAGCCTATTTCTTGAAGTGTGGAATTATCTGTCCTAGTTGTAGATCCGCTGGGAAGTTCCACTAAAGCACCAAAAATGTTGAATGTGATCATTTGAATGGGTTTCACTTAAAACCCAAGAACTCAATTCCCTGAGCCTTACCACAGTTCCAGCTGCAGAAAACCAGGCTTTCCTCCCTCAGCAGAACATAAAACTCTCCGAAACCCATTTTGATTTACAAAGTAGGCTGTAGCAAAGTGGTTGAGACACCCGTCTTTTAGACAAAGACGCCAGGAGGTCTAAGAACCAATTCAAATTTTCCAAGCCACAGGTGCCACTGATCTTTTAGCTGGGAGCTAAGGCTACCAGCAATAAGTCCCTTCCCAAGAGCTTCCCATTTAAATTGTGCTTTTAAAACAATGATGTACAGAAGCCCCAGGCCATAGCCAGATAGATAAAACTCAGATGAAGGCTGAGGAGGCATTTCCCTAAGGCACTTACAACTTTGTAACCTGATAAGGGAAAAGTTAATATCTTTTATAACTAACTGGTGAGAAGTTTGCGCCTTTCTCTAGCGCTCATTAACATGGGGTTCCAGCCCCCCTTCTTCCCCCACCCCTGTTGAGGGGCCATTGTTAAAGCGAGAAAACTACAAGGTTTTGTGCTAATGATTTTGTGGGAAACCAACAGAAATGATTCAGCTCAAAAAACAATTTGATTTGGGCTGGAGAGATAGCACAGCGGGTAGAGCATTTGCCTTGCACGCAGCCGACCCGGGTTCGATTCCCAGAATCCCATATGGTCCCCTGAGCACTGCCAGGAGTAACTCCTGAGTGCAGAGCCAGGAGTAACCCCTGTGCATCATCGAGTGTGACCCAAGAAGAAAAAAAAAATTGATCTCTCTTGCAGGCTTAGGAGGTTGGGGGTGTGCCTATATGTGATCTTCTATCCTGTTGGTTTTTGGTGGTACTCAGAGCTTACTCCTGGTTCTGTGCTCAAAGAGGACTTGTGGCAGGGCTCGTGGGACCGTGTGCGTTGCTGGGGATCCAACCCAGGTTGACCACATATAAAGTAAGCGCCCTCCTGCTGTACTGTCACTCTGGCCCCTAGCTGTGACTTTTTCTAAGGTGTGATCCAAACCAGAGTCTCAGCCGGAACCAGCCCAAGTATGCAGCCCTTTTGCCAGTGGACTGGAGGAACCGTGTGAGCACATGCCCCCTCCGCCTCACCCTGGGGGAGTACCTCAGGTCTGTTTTGAGAAAAGATGCCAATGAACTGGTCCGAGGAAGCCTTGAAGCCCTTCTGGAGCAGCGCTGAGCCCACACACTCCGACAAGTCTGCGACCTGAAGTGGAGAGGAAAGGAAAGGCAGCAGGTTAGGGGCAAGGAGCAGAGTTTTGGGGGTTGGGGGTGCCGGAGGCAGCACCTGAGCCAGCACCTGGGCCAGCACCTGAGCCAGAATCTGCACCAGCATCTGAGCCAGCAAGCTCCCACGAAGGGAGCAGGGACCACTTTGGCCAAGCCCAGGTTCTTTTATTTTTTTTTTTTGAATCACCATGAGATAGTTATAAGTTTTCATGTTTGGGTTACAATCACACAATGATCGAACACCCATCCCTCCACCAGATCACATTCCCCACCGCCAATATCCCCAGTATACCCCCCCCCCCTTTCCTACCCTCCCCTGCCTCCATGGCAGACAATATTCCCTATACTCTCTCTCTACTTTTGGGCATTATGATTTGCAATGCAGATACTGAGAGGTTATCATGTTTGGTCCTTTATCTACTTTCAGCACAAATCTCCCATCCCGACCGGTTCCTCCCAAGCCATTATTTTCTTAGTGATCCCTTCTCTATTCCAGCTGCCTTCTCTCCCAGCTAATGAGACAGGCCACGCCCAGGTTCTAATCACTAAAACTCCCAGTGAAGAGGATGGATCATTGGGTTCCCTTTATAAAACACACGTATCCCACCCCAGCAGTGGCCAGTACGCCAGCTTTCTTCATCGTTTCTCCTTTGTAAGTCAGTCTTACAAAATTAAAGTAGTAGCTTATGGGCAGAAAAAAATTTTTCATCTTTGCGTTTGCTGATAGCAGCAAAGAAGCCAGAATCTGTCATTTGGTCTAAACACAGAAATAATAACATGGGCACGCCGTGTGTGTGTGTCTGTGTGTGTGTGTGTGTGTGTTGTGTGTAAGGCAGGGTTGAGAAAAATATTTTGTAAAGTTCTTATTAGCTCTACAACCCCAATCTGGTAATTTATTCTTAGAAAATAATTCAACCTTAGGAGGAATATTTTTGAGATTTTCTTCTTTTTAAAATTTTGGGCCACACCTGGCAGTGTTCAGGGCTCATTCCTGGCTCTGTACTCATTCCTGGCTTGGTGCTCACGGATCACTGCTGCTAGTGCTTGGGGACCATATGAGATTCTGAGATGGAACCTGGACTGATCACATGCAAGGAAAGTGCCCTAATATGCTGTACTATATCTCTGGTCCTAAGAGGAGGTTTTAAATAACTGTGCAATTTCAAAATTTTCTGAAATCCCAAAACTCCCATAGGTTCCGGCCCCCTCCCACCACGTTCAGAATCACCGGGTTAGTAAGACATAGCCAGAGAGATAGTACAGTGGGTAGGACACTGGTTTACAGGCAGATCCAAGACCTGGGTTCAGTCCCTGGCCCCACATTCGGTGGTGTCTTGAGCCCTGCCTGGGGTGATCCCAGAGCACAGAGCCAGGAGTCAGCTCTGAGCACCACCAAGTGTATCCTTCCCCGCCCTACCAAAATGAAATAGAAAAAATGATTTAAAAGGACAAATTCAAAGTGCAGCTACATGTCTTGGGCCATCACTGGCTGAAATATACACCAGACAGGGATCTCCTTGGCGAACCGCAGTCTGCCTGGAGAAAGCCTGTGGGCACCGGCCGTGGCTCTCTTCTCCAGCTAACACGCCACGAGCATGATCTAGTGAGAGAGAACACTGATACCATGAAAAGCCATCAGGGGCGCTGTCAGGCTCCAAGGGGTCATCAGCAACCCTTGGGCTGGAGCTCATGCCAGGGATGAGCTGGGATGAAGGTTCAATCCCCAGCACTGCATGGCCTCCTGGGCACTGCTAGCCCCTAGCCCCTCTAAGAAGGCCATGCCCTATACTGCGACACCCCCCCACCAAAGAAAACAGAGAGAGCGAGAGAGAGAGAGGGGGAGAGAGCGAGAGAGAGAGCATCATCACATAGTATTATTCATTTGCTTGCTGCCCATCAATTGTTTATACAGCGCGTGTGAAAACAAGGGGTCACAGAAGCACCTTACTAGATGGGACTTGGTTCTGGGAAAGCAAAATACAAACAGCGCCATCTCTCCTCCCCCTGCTGACCCCTCTCACTAGCAAGCAGGCTGAGCTCACTGTGATCCCCTCCTCTCCATCCCCCCGGCTCCCCCCACCAAAACCCAACACTTGACATGAGCCCTGGTCTCGAGATCCTGGCAGGGACCTGAGTCCATGGGCCTGGCGACACACAAGCACAACACGCCAATCCCTGAGAATGGGCGGAGGAAGTTCCTGGGTCCTACCGAAAGCCTCAGGGTCACCTGTCCCACGGAGCAGTGACCATGAGGCAGCCGAGCCAATATTTCCCAAAGCTCCTGTGGGTCTCAGGCTGCCACTCAGCCTGAGGAACAGTAAGGGTGTGGAGGCTGATGGGACAGAAAAGGCAATGTCCTCCTGCACCACTGCCTGACTTCACAAACTCCTCTGGAGACAGCCTGAGGGCCAGTAGGCACTGCACACTGCCCAGAGTGAAAAGCCCCAGATGCCAGCGGGAGTTAAAGGTCACACCAGTCCCACACTGGTCAGCACCCACGAGATGCACCCGAGGGGCCCTGAAACAGATGCGGGGGGGAACCTCATTTCTGGTCCTGGTTCGGCTGCTGACCAGCTGGACAGGGCCTGACCTACCCTGAGGCCTATTTTTCCTCATGCTCTGCATTTCTCTCTATGGGAACGTTCCCATTTTTCTAGCACTTGCCAAGGCAGAAGGGTGCGATCAGATCTGGCAGGGGCTGCTTCCTCCAGGCACAAAACTAGAAATGTATCTTCAAGTTTATACTCCGCAGGGAGATAAGGTGAGGCCTCTAAGGCCTAGAGGCGGAGGCCTGCGTTTTCTCCCTGGCATCGTGAGGACCCTCTGAGAACTGCCAAGAGCAACTCCTGACTTTTGGCTATGGCCCACAAACAAACAAAAATTTACTCTGTTAAAAAAAAAAAACATTAAAAAAAAGAACATTTTTAAAAAAGGACAATAGAGGGATCCAACCATATGACATAGTGGCCAAAGTATGATGACAGACCCAATAAAGATCAGTGGTTTCCAGGAGCTAAGGCGAGGAGGGAGGGACAGACAGACGGCATAGAGAGATGTTTAGGGCAGTAAAACAATTCTGTAACATACTGCCATAGAGGGCTGGAGCGATAGCACAGTGGGTAAGGCGTTTGCCTTGCATGCGGTCAACCCAGCTGATCCGGGTTCGATTCCTCCGCCCCTCTCGGAGAGCCCGGCAAGCTACCGAGAGCATCTCGCCCACACGGCAAAGCCTGGCAAAGCCTACCCGTGATGTATTCAATGTTCCAAAAACAGTAGCAGCAAGTCTCACAATTTATTGTGAGACGTTACTGGTGCCCACTTGAGCAAATTGATGAACAACGGGACGACAGTGAACAGTGGACTGCCACAGAAAACACACAACAGAATGCACTGGCCAAAGTCCACAGAAAGCTTGTAACACAGAGTGGACCCGACTGTAACGGAGGGACTGCAGTTAACCTCGATGTGTCAGCACTGGCCAGAAAATCATCCTCTGCAAGGCACCCTCATTCATTTCTAAATAAACTACTCTGAGTACCCCCCTGCCACCTTCCCCCCTCCGTGACTTGACTCGACGAATTTATCTCACAACTTTGTGTGAGTTTTCTCCCCCTGCCCGTGGGTCCGAGAGCTGGTACTGGTCGGCCACCTGTGGTCGAAAGCCACCCTGAGGCGCGCCGGCTCTGAGAATGAGGTAAGAAGCATTAGCACTGGCGGGAGAGGCCCCCGGAGCAGCAAACCCACCTCTTTGTAGGAAAGCCATTCGTAGGGCTTGTCTGGTTTCCGAGAGCCTAAGCAAGGGCCGTTATCTGAAGGAGAAAAAATAAAAGAGAGAGAAAAACAAAGAATGGGTTTAACGTACATCAACAGTCCCAGATCCTAGTCCCAGATTCTCCCATCAAATTGGACCGACTGGGGAATGCCTGATAGTCCTCAGATACAGGCAGCCACCTGAGAAATTTCTCCAAGTACTGGATTTGGATTCTTGTCACGTGTTTATTTCTGCCTGCCCCCTACCCTCCAGGAGGCAGCAAGGGCGGTGGAGAATCAAGAGAAGGAATATGCAGAAACGTGGGTGTGTTTCTGGTACTCCCCGTTCCCACACCCCAGAACTACCAGGAGTTGCCCCTACTATAAGAGTGACCAAAAAAAAAAGTCCTAAAATATTAGTGGGGGGTTATGGTTCAGTGACAGAATGTCTCAGCTGGGTGAGGCCCTGGGTTGGTTCGATCCTCAGCCCTGGAAATCGTAACAATAAATAAGTGGGAAAAAATTTAAGGGAAAGGCAAATAAAACTGTTTTGTTTTAGTTATTTTGGGGGCGGGCCCTACCCGGTAGTGCTCAGGGGTTACTCCTGGCTCTGCTCTCAGGGATCACTCTTGGTGGGACTCAGAGGACCAAGTGCGGTGTGGGGGATCAAACCCGGGTTAGCCGTGTACAAGGCAAGTGTCCAACCCACTGTTCTTATCTCTTTGGCCCACAAATAAAACTTTCGTCACACTCAAAAATGTGACTTGTCTTCCATAGACGCAGGGTGAGGAATGGGATGGGGGCGGAGGGGGAGGGTGGATACTGGGGACAATGGTGGTGGAAATGCGCACTGGTGGGGGATGGGTATTCAATCAAAGTATGGCTGAATCTCAAACATGAAAGCTTTGTAACTGTGTCTCATGGTGATTGAATAAAATAAACAATTTAAAAAAAAGGAAATTTCTCTTGATGTTCTTTTGGTTTTAAATAGTTGCTGTGTAGTAAAGTGATCTCGGTGTGGGGGCTCTCAGAGGCAGATTCCTGCAATATTTCTAGAGAGGTTTCTTGTATTCTTATTCTTGGTTAGGGGAGGGCCCATCTAGCAGTTCCCAGGGCTTACTCCTGGCTTTGTGCTCGGGGATCACTCCTGGCTGGCTCAGGGGACAGTATGTGGTGCTGGGGACAGAAAATGGGTTCAGCGACAGCAAGGCAAGTGCCTTATCTGCTGGACTATCTCTCCCGCCCCAGAGGCTTCCTCAGAATATACAAAAAGGAAATGATAAACTACTGTTATGTTCTGGAGTGATAGCACAGCGGTGGGGCTTTTGCCTTGCGCACAGCCAGCCCGGCCTCGCCGGGTTCGATTCCTCCGCCCCTCTTGGAGAGCCTGGCAAGCTACCGAGAGCATCTCGCCCACACGGCAGAGCCTGGCAAGCTCCCCGTGGCATATTCGATATGCCAGACACTGTAACAAGTCTCAAAATGAAGACATGACTGGGCCCGCTTGAGCAAATCGATAAACAACGGGAGGACAGCGACAGTGACTTTTATGTTCATTTTTCTCTCTCCGTGACACTGGTGGCTCTGCTGACGGAGGGTTGGTTGTGGTGCTCATACCCTACACTTGTGGGCCTAAGCACACTTCACCTGTAGTGTTTGCCGGCAGTGTGTTGTGTGTCCACACACCTGGTTGTGGTGACCAGTTGAGGCTGTGGCAATGCTCTGGTTACTGCATGCTTGGCTGTGCCACCGGTGATCACAGTGGCAGTGCGCCGGGGTTACAGCTGGCATGTGAGCTGGTGCTAGGGATCGACCTGGGGGGAGGTCTCTTGCCCGAAAGGGGAGCACTCCACTGTGGAGCCCCTTTGGGACAATATAAGTGAGTGTTCAAATTCTGATGAGCAAAAGTATCAAGAACCATTTTATGTAATTCAAATTATACAGGGAAAATCTTTTTTTGCAAAGAAACAAAAAAAATGAAGAAAAGATGTAGAAAAGGGGGAAAACGGGGGTATCTGTGAAAGCCATGGTTAAAAAAAATAATAAAAAACAAAACACCAGGATGCGACCTGACTCCAATTTGGACCCCACATAAGCAAGCATGCAGGCAAGGACAGCTGCCAGGAGCGACACCTTGGGACTAGCCTGGCAGTAAGTACAGCTTCAACCCGCTGAGAGTCAGAATTGGAGATATTTCTTTCTCTAGGCGACCCCCAAGCTAACTTTCTAATGTCCACTCGGGAGTCTCACGGAGGCAGCTTCCACAGAGACGAGGTTCTTTCCCCAGACCCGTTTCACGCACGGGACCAGAGGTGATAAGCTGCTGAAACACGCCCGAGCTGGAGGACACTACTCAGCTCTTTCCTTTCTGAAGAGGAGCTGAGAGGCCTTGCATGTGGCTGACCCCTGTCTGGTTCCTGGTACCAAGTGGCCTCAGAGTGCCCCAGAGGGGGTCCCAGGCATTCCTCCGCCCTGCCACATTGCGCCCTGCCACGTTGCTACATTGTGCCCTGCATCCTTGGGCCCTTTTATAGACCCAGCAGCCTGACTGGCTCCCCAGTAAAAAAAAAATAAGAAAAACAATTTTCTAAAATGAACAGGAGTTGACAAATGATAGTAGGGTTCTCCCTCAGACCAGCTGCCTGTTTTCATCAGGACAGTTTTACTGGCCCTTTGCCATACTCGTTCATTTGCGTGTTATCAGGGCGCACAGCTGAGCCTGATAACGGAGCTGGATGGCCCCCAGGGGCCCCAATGTTTACTATCCGGACTTTCACAGAAACACTCGTGGATGACAGTTTTGGGATGGGGGTGGCTAACCACCAGGCTCACCCAGAGCATTTGAAATGCACTGGATTCAGACTCCAGTGTCTTTGGTGTGACCGCAGAGACAGGACCTGAGCTTCAGCATTTTTCAAAAGCTCCCTTTAGTGCTGAGAAGACCTAAATTTGGCTGGGAGGATTGGGGTCGGGGGGATCTCCTGGTAGTAGGTCTGCCTTGAAGGTGTGAGGCCCGGGGTTCAACCTCAGGACAGCTTCCCCCACCTCCCACATCCCAACTGATTCATTTTAAATTTAATTTCCCTGAAGCGCTAAAAAAATAGTCTTTATTTCTCAAATAGACTAAGTGACCAAACAAAAAGAAAAGGTTTTGTAACTTGTCTGAAGACCAGGAGAGAGTTACTGTGTCATTAGACAAACCCCACGTTCTGCAAGCAATGAAAATACTTACATGCATTTATATGTATGTTTGCTTTGTACTAGGGGTTATATGTTTTTATATGTACAATGAGAGTGCATATATATCAGTGGCAATACATATATATATAGATAGAATGTGACTTATCTACACGTACTGATCATATATACACACATGAAGAACATTTTTACTGTATCACTAGATCACTGTCATCCCATTGGTCATCGATTTACTCAAGTGGGAGCCAGTAACATTTCCATTCGTCCCAGCCCTGAGATTTTAGCAGCTTCTCCTTACTTGTCTTTCCCAATGATTGGAGGTTCTTTCAGGGTCAGGGGAATGAGACCTGTTATTGTTACTGTTTTTGGCATATCGGATACACCACGGGGAGCTTGCCAGGCTTTGCCCATGCGGGCAGGGTACTCTTGGTAGCTTGCCGGGCTCTCCGAGCAGAATATATGTACAATATATCTACTGCACTGCACTGTCCTCCCATTGTTCCTCGATTTGATAAAGCGGGCCCAGTAACGTCTCCATTGTGAGACTTCGTTGTTACTGTGTCTGGCATATCAAATACGTCACGGGGAGCTTGCCAGGCTCTGCCGTGCGGGCGAGATCCTCTCGGTAGCTTGCCGGGCTCTCCGAGAGGGGCGGAGGAATCGAACCTGGGTGAATATAAAATATACGCAGACATCTAAAGGAAGCGTCTTCTTGTGGGCATTCTATTATGTTAGGATGCTTTGCATGAGTATTTATGCTCACAGGGAAACCCTGACACCAACTAAAGAAGCCCTCCAGTCACACACAGGCATGCCTGCTTTTTCCCTGGGAGCGGGGCATGGGCTGAGCCTGCTCCAGGAACAGTGTGGTGAACATGCGGATGGAGCGATGGCACCGGGCCAGGCCCTGTCCAGAGGGGCCCATCTCAGCACATTTGAGCTGCACATTTGGTTGGGGAGGGAGTGTGTGAGGCTCCCGATTAGGATCCAGGTAGCAGGAGGAGAAAGGAAAGCTGACCCAGAAAGTGAAAGAAAGGAACCCAGGCAGAGCCCCTGGTCCCGTGCACCGAGAGGAAGTGGGGTCCCACACAGAGGAAGAGGCTCTGGGACAAAGCCAGGGTTGGGGAAGGAGGGAAGCTGAGGGTGCCTCCCCCCTCCGCTGAGGACACCAGGAGGAAGCTCGTGCTGGGTGCTGGACCGGGCCTCAGGGTCCAAGGAGTGAGGAGTGCATCCTGCCGTAAGCGCCCCTGCACCCTGAAGCACCCCAGAGCCCCAGAGGGTTTGGCAGGAAAGGGGGAAGTGTACAGGAACCTGCTAAGAAACGCCAGGGTCCACCAGCCCGAGGTTGCCGGCAGGAGAGAAGAGGGGGAAAAAAAGCATTGGGGAGGTCGGGACAAAGGTGTGGGGTGAAGGGAGCAGCGAAGGTGCAGGCTGGACACTGAGTCCAGTGAGGAGGTAGAAGAGACTTGGGCTTCTCCAGCTCCCCCAGGGCACACAGTGTCTCGGAGGGAACAGGACTCTCGCGGGGGTGGGGGTGGGGGTGGGGGTGAGTCTGGTTGGCTTGAAACACGGGACCACGGAATTGCAAACGAGCTGGACTGGCCCTGTTTGGCAGGACGGGCCACGCTGGCTAATGTGTCCATCTGTGTGCGAGTCTGCAGGGCATGCAGGAACCAGCCCGAGGGGCTGGTGTGTTTTTTTTGTTTTTTTCAACCTTCCTTGGAGAAGCGAAAGAACCACGAGAAAGGGCCTTTCTGCAGGCAAACAGTCGCTTACTCGACACCAGAATGCCCCTCTGGAAACCTTCGTACAGCGTCCTGACGTCATCGTAGAAGTACACCAGGGGCTCATCGTTGGAGAGGAGAGCGGACCGCCGTGCGCCTTTGCCTCCCTGCGGGGACAGACGCACAGACAGACAGACAGACAGACGGGCATGTGAGGAGGAGTTGATCAAAATCAAGAAGCATGTGGCTGACCCCCGGTTGGATCCTGGTGGCACATATGGTCCCCCCTGAGCCCACCCAGGAGTGAAATCTGAGTGCAGAGTTGGAAGCAGACCCTGAGCACCACCAGGTATGCGCCCCCCTCCCCCAATCAAAATAAATATTTAAAATACTCAATGAAACTGAAACCACGGGATCCAAGCTGCAATCACTGAAAGTTTGTGTTATGCCTGTCAAGCTGATGGGCAGGGACAGGAGGGGGCGGAGGGGGGAGGGAATATGGGGACACTGGGGGAGGGAAGTTGACACTGGTGTGGGATTGGTGTCGGAATACTGTATGCCTGAAACTCAACTATCGAGAACTTTGTAAATCACAGTTCTTTAATTAAAAAACAAAAAAAGCCCTCCCAACAGTACAGATAAAAATGTGTCCATACCGGGATGGCGCAATGGTACAGTGGGGAGAGTGCTTGCCCTGAATGCGTCCAACCCAGGGTTCAATCCCTGGCATCCCAGATGGTCCCCTTGAGCAGTGCCAGGGGTGATTCCAGAGTGCAGAGGTCTTGCCAAGCAGAGCTGGAGGCCGGCCAGCACAGACCCTGGGGACCCTAGAGCTGAGAGTAAGTGGGCACGGGAAAAGCATGCTGCTCCTGTTCCTGTGGCCATGCCACCTGGCTCGCTCGCCTTCCACCAAGTCAACTGCAGTCCTTGGGATGTCACCCCCACCTTTTCACTGCATCGCCAACTGCACAACAGTCTGTTAGGAACTTGGGTGCCCGCCGTAGCTCCATGCAGTCTCAGACCAGCTACAAAAGTCTGACTTGCAGCCAGCCTGTAGAGGTGGGCAACCGTGAGGAGGACTGATTAGCTCTGGCGGAGGCTATTCCTCTGCGCTGGCCCGGAGAGGAGCTGGCCACGTGGCAGGGTGCCACCCCCCGGGGTAGTAGAAGTCACCTGCAGAGGCAGGGGTCCCCGGGCCCAGGGAGATACCTTGGTCAAAGGGTTTTGCATGCAGGAGGTCTGGGGTTCGATCCCTGGCACATCATGGTTCCCCTGAGCATTGACAGGAGTAAGACCTGAACACAGAGCTGGCTTCACCCCCCCGCCCCACCAACAAAACAAGACCAAACCCAAACACTCAGAGGCTGGTTGGAGCTCTCCACCTGTGAGTTGCTGTGGTTGAGAGGCCCAGGCATCAGGGAACCCCAAGCACTTCCCAGAGCCTGGGAAATAAAGGCCCTGTGGATCTGCAAGGATTCACTCCAGTGCGGGGCCTTCTGGGGGTGCCGTGGGTAGGAAAGACTCATCGTGGGAAATGGGGTGATGGATGGCACAGGACTCCGGGGCCCACGAGAGCATGCTATATGGAAGCAGGAGAGCACAGTGCTAGCCCGAACTTGGCAGGATGGAGGGAGGCGGTTAGTGATAAGGGCCAGAGGACTGTGTCCCAGTGAGAATCCTCACAGGGACACTATTTGGTGGTGACAGCCAGTTGGGTCTACATGGATTCTGGGTGTTTTTTTTTGGGGGGGGGTGTTCTGTTCTTGCTTTGTTTTTGAACCAAAAGTCTCCACCTCTCTTTACACTCTCTTTCCTTCCCCCAACTAAGTTGTCATTTATATACTTAAACCACTTTTGGTATATGCCTTTCCTTCCTTCTTTCTTTCTTTCTTTCTTTCTTTCTTTCTTTCTTTCTCTCATTATTATTATTATTATTATTTTTGGAGAGGGTGCTCAGAACTTACTTTGGACTCTGTGCTCAGGATGACTCCTGGAAGTCTTGGGAAGACTCTATGGCGTGTTGGGGTTCGAACTCGGGTAAGCCAGGTGCAAGGCGAGTGCCCTACCCTCAGTACTCTCTGGCCTCTACTTAAACAGGGGTTAAGGTGCTTGTCTTGCCCACGGCTTGATTTGATCTGCTCCATCACCAGGAGTGACCCCTGAGCACAGAGCTAGGAAGAGTCCCTGAGTACCACTGGGCATCACACACACACACACACACACACACACACTCACTCACTCTCTCTCTCTCTCTGTCTCTCTCTCTCTCTCTCCAATTCCCCCAGCTCCCCAATTTAATGATCTACAGAAGCATAGCAGGGTGAAGACTGCCTAGCCCACCACAATCAGTCCTGAAACGGATATCATCACTCATCTGGATGAACGGCAGCAGTTTCTCTGATTGTGAAAGAAGCGTGCCAATACCCACAGCCGCGATTCCAAACACCATTCCGCACGCATGCCACTTTCCAGAGACTATCTGGAAATCATCCTCCCTTTCGTCTCGAGCACGATTATTCACAGCCGAGTCTGCTTCCTCCTCTGTAAAATGGAGGAACCACGTGCCCATGTCCAGGGTTATTTTTAGTTGGACAAGAACGTCCCTGTGCAACATTACTCAGACTCCCTGTCAGGTGCCCTCACCACAATGCCAGTCCTTCTTGGTGACCGACTGTCTTTACACCAGCAAGTGCACAGATGGGAACGCTCAGTAGCAGTACTCCCTGGGGCTCAAGAGAAGGAAGACGAAGGAGGGGCTTTCTTAATCCAGATTGGTTGCCTTCTACTTTACATCCAACCCAATGTGAGAAAGACAGAAGATGAAGGACTGAGAAAAGCGAAGGTGAGCCTGGTGACCAGTGCTGGCCACAGCCACCTGCCTCTGGGTGCTGCCCACTGCCGCGCTGCCCGCATGGCCCAGGGTGCAGGTGACCTGGAGGCCAGGGCTGAGCACGACTCCCCGTGGACGCACATTCGTCCATGCTGCTGCTCAGAGGTGTCTCTGCAAAAGCAATTCCGCTCTCCCCAAACATCAGCGCATCCCTCTGAGTAGGCTCCAGGGCGGTCAGAGGAGAGACAGCAACTCAGTGAGGAGGCAGAACTTGTTTGGAAGGAACAGAAGATTCGCTTGTGCCTCTGGCGCCATGTGAGTTCACTAACTGGCCATGATCCAGAGACTCATGAGTAAATCTCCAAAGAGATCAACAAGCTGCAGAGAGGCTTCGGGACCCCAAAAGCACCATGCAAAATTTTAGGATTCCTGGAGTGACATCTCATACTCTACATAACTGATACACCAGGAATCATACATCACATTGGGTGGGCTGGAGCGATAGCACAGTGGTAGGGTGTTTGCCTTGCACTGAGTTCGATTCCTCCACCCCTCTTGGAGAGCCCGGCAAGCTACCAAGAGTATCTCGTCCCCATGGCAAAGCCTGGCAAGCTACCTGTGACGTATTCGATATGCCAAACACAGTAACAACAAGTCTCACAATGAAGATGTTACTGGGCCCGTTCGAGCAAATCGATGAGCAACGGGAGGACAGTGCTAGAGTGGGTGGAATGCAAAGTAGGAGGTGACCAATTTCGATTGATATCAACACACCAGGCAGAACCTGTAACAACATGTTAGGAATCCGTTATACCAGGGCTTAATGGCTCCCGGGTGAGATACAACAATCGTCATATACTTTCTTCTCAGGACAACTTTCCTGATCATTTTTAGTGAATTATTCATAACAAATAATATAAAATAAATCATTTGGGGACTGCTATTGGGGCAGGATTAGGTGGGAAAACTGGAAATAATGGTGGTGGAAAGGTACAATGGTAGTGAGATTGGTGCTGGAATATTAAATAGTCATGACCACCTTTATAAAAATTTTAAAAGAAATTAAAAAGAAAAAAATTTTTTTTTGGTTTTTCTTTTTGTTTTTAAGGTTCCAGACTTGGGAGTTGGACTCTGGAGGGAGGACGGCATGGGGGACAGGACCTGGTCTCCATGCCCTAGAGAGGACATCGAAGAGACAGGACAAGTGACATTGCACATGGGTAAGTGAGAGACACCTAGACATCGGGGCAGGGCCTGGAACCATCTACTTAAACAGACCCAAACACTTCATGTTTATGGTTTTTGTTTTTTTTGTCACATCTGGCAGTGCTCAGGGCTTACTCCTGGCTCTGCTCTCAGGGATCACTCCTGTTGGAACCATATGGGGTGCCAGGAACTGAACCCAGGTTGGCTGCGGGCAAGGCAAGTGCTCTACCCACCATCTTATGGCTCTGACCGGCTCCAATAGCTGCAGTTTTGATGTGAATCTTTCCTGTGTCACTCCAGGGGCCCTAGGCTCAGGAACTAAACCAGGTTTCCACTGATGGTCTGAGAAACGAGCTGGAGTTTTTCCTGTGTTACAGAAACCGGACCCCTTCCAGATTGCCCAATTACCAGTGCCTGTTTAGAGCAGGGAAGTTCAAGGCTAGTGGTTTTTTAAATTGATTAAATTTTGCTTCTTTAATGTCTTCGGGTCACACCCAGTGGTGTTCCCGATGGTGTTCAGTGTGTGAACCTAGTACTATGTCTCTGACTCTTAAGTCTACATTCTCGCACCAACTTTCATCTAAGCCTTTGGGTTAATTTGGAGGTGGTACATAATCTTCAGAATGCTGAGAAAGGCGCCAGAGTGATTGTACAGTGGGAAGGGTGTTTGCCTTGCACACAGCCAAACCAGGTTTGATCCCTGGCATCCCATATGGTCCCCTGAGCACCACCAGGAGTGATTCCTGAGTGCAGAGCCAGGAGTAACCCCTGAGCAATGCCAGGTGTGACCCAAAAACCGAAGGAAAAAAAAAAAAGGAAAAACATGGGGCTGGAGTGATAGCACAGCGAGTAGGGCATTTGCCTTGCACGCGGCCGGACCCAGATTTGATTCCCAGCATCCCATATGGTGCCCCGAGCACGGCCAGGAGTAATTCCTGAGTGCAAGAACCAGGAGTAACCCCTGTGCATCGCTGGGTGTGACCCAAAATATGCAAAATGAAAAAAAAGGAAAAACAGAATGTTGAGAAACCTGAAGGCAAAATAGCCAAATGCTAGGGGGTGAGGAAGGGAGTTAATGAAATATATCCCCCTCAAAACCATTGTCTAGACAAAGTTGCCTGAGAAAAAGTT